ATTCAATCTAATATTGTATTGTACGCGTTTGTCGGATAGATGTAAAATATATGTATTCATAGCGAGCGGATAAAAAGGATTTTATCATTATAATCATAAATAATTGTATTTTATTAATAACGTGACTATCATAATACGTATCTTCCATAAGATAGAAAATTTATAAGATCAGAAATTTACTGCTGCCTCGTACATAATTTTCTTTAATTATTTTGTGTTCCGCCTATTATAAATATAAAATATTTTATCTTAGATATATACAGGGTGTCTCAAAAATCTATCACTCATTTATATCTCGTCGGAAACACTCCGACATTAGAAAAGAAACGATTTTTTTTTCAATTTAGATTCCAGCATTCATACATAGTTTCGTAATGATGTTCATTCTCTTTGCGGTGCCCTGTATGCTATGAAAATAATTTTTCATGTCCCTAAGTATACATATTATCTAACAAATTATACATATCGTTTGATATAATAAAATTTCCATACAATCTCATTTTACTTTTTAGTATCTATTTGCGGCTCTAAGTGCGTGGGATATCATTATTTCTCTTCACGAGAAACATATCGGCATGACGAGAGAGTAGAGACTCTCGAACTGAAATGAACAAAAATGTAAAAGCACAGTCAATAAAGAGCACTTGCACACATCTGAATTACGAATTGAATTAAAAACGAAATTCCTCTTCCTTCCTCTATGACTCCTTATATATAATCAAAAACGATAAAAATTTACTTAATCTTTTAACTCTTAATATTAAATATAGATATAGAGAATAAGGAAAGATTATTATCGCGAATATATATAGACCGATAGAGGGAAGTAATTTGGTTAACACTAGAGATTCATTCATCATACATTCATTATACAAATTAAATTATGCTGCATTGAACAGTTGCATATCATTAAATGTCATAATCACCCGTATGTCAGATTATTCGCATTGTATCATACATAAGTAATAATGTTTAATACTAATATGTAAATAATTAACCTGCTGCGATTTTGAGTTCAATACAAATGTTACATTACGTTGACACATATTACGGAACGCGTTTGAATACATATTTTATACCTTATGTGTAATGTAGTAACATATAATTTATATACAATATAACACAATTATTATTATACATAATATATAAAATATTGTAAATATTGTTTTACATATATATATCAGAAAAATTAAATGTGCGATTAACTATCGATAAAATAACGGTGACCTGTTTGTGGTTTCGCTGCTGGTTAATCGCTATCGATTTCCTTCGAAAACAGGAAAATCTGCAAACACAGGATCCGGTTTAAGCACGGTGTTTTCGTTGCTTATCCTTCCTACTTGCATATGAACTAACCTGTATTTCGTGAACGGATCCTGCGGTCGCTTGAAGACGACTATCGTTTATCGTTAACAAACCGCTGTATCCTCCGTAATTCTCCTATAAATACCTGTATCAAAGTACTCGGCAACGTAAAGACTTATACGTTGTCTAAGAAGCAACATCGTGATCCTTACTTTTGCTTCCATTATAAATTCTATTATAGTAGTTTCGATTCCGATTTCTGAAGCGTACGGTTGCGTGATTGTCGATTTTGTCAAGTTAGTGCGCGCACTTGTTGATTGCCAAAATGGGAAGCAAGAAATCGGATATTCTATATCTGTTTGATCGACCGGCGGAGCCAGTGTACGTACCCAAGGGAGAGAACAAAGTCGCTTTTGATGTACCAGCTAACTACTTGGTAAGCTTGATCCTTGACGGTCTTATTGCGTATCAATATTGAATTCCACGACATCAGTTTGATGCTGTTCTGCGCAGTTCACAGAACTTGAAATATCTTGGTCGTATCTAAGATTAAGCCTTAGCAGGGCCGGGCATGTATTTGAAATACTTTTATTTAAAACACACTATTTGCAATACAAGCGTATTTTGTATTTTTTATTTTAGCGGATCACATAAAAGTATTACGTATTTTGTATTCAAAATCGAAAGATTGAAAGCTTTTTGTATCTTGTAATTTAAATAATAAAGTTGATTATCAATGTTAGTATTTGAAATACAAAATACAAAATATTTTCATGTACTCTGAATAAACACAAAATACAAAATATAATTGTCTTACCAATACAGTTTTTCAAATAAAAGTATTTCAAATACATGCCCAGCCCTGAGCCTTAGATCGTAATGCACGACGCTGTACGCTACGAGGAATGTAAGATTTCTAATTTCACGAAATAAAATGTAAGATTTTTAATTACACGAAATAGTTTCATGAAATAAAAGACTTTTTCTCAAGTCCTATTTATTGCCTTCTTATTTATCGAATATAAAAATTCTTAGAAATAATTCGCAATACAAAATTTATTTACATTACTCAATAATCCAAAATAAAAAGAACACTTTGAACGAAGAAAGAATATTTCTTTATTAATGTTACTTAATCGATCATATACAAATTTTTATATATAAACTTCGCTTTTTTAAAACACATTTACAGCCTGAGTCTCGGCAACAGATGGCTCCTGCCATCGTAAATCGTTTCGCCGATGATACCTCGTCAAAGGTTCCAGTGAAGCAAATCAGTCTACCTGACTTGAGTGTCCCCCTTCAACTTGGACGTCGAGAACCTTTCTCTCTTTTCATTCCTAAGCATCGAAAATTAGCCGCGCGACTTATCGATATCTTCTTGGGTTTGTTTCCGATTTATTTATATTACGTTTTATTTACTTCACTTGCCAAATTCTATATAAATTTCGCCTTTGTTTGCGAGTCAATTTAAAAATAGATATATGTATTCAAGTATTAAATTTTTCAATCTAAGATTGTGTTTTAAGATCAACAAATAATCAGCACGCAGTTTGCTTGAATTAAATAGTTGCAAAAATTCGCATAAAAATATTATCAAACATCCAAACCTGTCTTGACCAAATTATATGACCTTTTTCTTTTACATTAAATTTTTCTTTTGTAAAAAAAATATAGATTAATTAAATTAGATTAATTAAACACATTACATATATTTTCACAGTAAGTTACATTGTTATGCTCATGCAAACTTCATTTAAGCACAAGCCTACACGGAGAGATAGTTACGATTTTGGCACGGACAGTCGATACTACTATCGCGTGGCCTATTTCAATGCGTTAATAGCACCATCGTTCTATCTGTTTATGCATGAAGTCGTGCAATCATGGCACGAAAATTGCTATGAAAAAAAGGAATATGATGCGTGCTATGGTCGTATCAGCTTTTTACGATAGTCACACGAGCGCAGTACGCATAAAGCACCCCACTTCACCGTGCGAAATTCGCTCGAAACCCGTGCGATTTTGGCATGGCTTATCGGTTTGACCGTCAAATTTCTAAACCACGCCTTCTATGATGTATTGTGTGTTAAAAATTAAACATTTATGTGAAAAATGTTGCAGCAATAGTAAATATATTAATGCAAGTATTTGATGATTTATTTAAATTATAGAATTTGTTTCCTGAGTGATTTTTTAATTATCACATTCTTACAGAAGATTACAAAGACCCTGGTGGAAAAATTTTGGTGAAATTTGTGTGACGTTTCGCCGAAATTATAAGTTTTGAAACACATTTCAGTGAAATTTTAAATACGTAATTTCAAAAATACGTATAATGTAATATAATAA